AATGGTATAAATATGAGCTTTATCTATCTAACAAAAGTGTGGTAAGGCTGAAAATAGATAATTCCATATATGCCACTCTGAAGAGAAGGGATGGGAAAACTGCAGCTCCTCAGACTCATTTTTAGATTTTATTTTACTAAATCTACACACGGCCTTCCTGTTTATAGAAGGTGGAAATTTGTGTTGCTGAAAGTCTGCAGCAAATTAGCAATTTTCATCTGTGAGATCTTTTGTAACTAACAAAAAAAATGCCTAATTAAAAGCTACAACAGGTGCACTCAAACACACCTATTCTACCATAATCACCTGCTATCTTATCAAATAAGAGTGAGAGAAGGGCTGAAAATTCTGGTCCTGCTCCCTTTCATTAAGCTATGATCATACCCACTGTGCCATTCACTGTGGCAATATTAAAACATAATAAAATTCAGCCTCAATTGATAACCCTTCCCTTCTAAAAAAAACCCCCTGCCCTACCTGTTTTTCGCAAAAGGTTAGGATATACATTTAAATTCAAAAACATTTCACATAGGAAATAAAAATACTATATTGGTTGAATTTTTAAATTTCTCCATGGCAGTCTTTTATTCAAAAAGGTGTTAGACTGCAACTTTCATAAGTTACAGCTGGCATGGCTATTTCCTATGCTAATGTGGATGATGGAAGTTGCAATTTAACATTTCTGGAAGATACCAGGGTGAGGAAGACTGCCCCAGAGACTATGCTGGCAGCAAGGGCACAGCCCTTTCCATAATGGGAGTTTGCTTTCTGCATGTCTACAGCTGCAGTTTGTTAACCTGACTGCTAGTTGATTGTCAGGGCTCATCTCTTCCCAATGTTTATCATCATCATCATCATCATCATCATCATCATCATCATCATCATCATCATCATCTTCTTCTTCTCCTTCTTCTTCTTCCTCCTCCTCTTCTCCTCCTCCTTTGATTTCCACTGCACCTGGCTAGATAACAATGGCAGATGGCAGGGCAAAGGTGTCCAGGCAGGGGAAGGAGGGACGATGAAAGCAGCATTGCACTCTAAGTTCCACCTCTTTTGTACAAGCCTCATCTTGCACTCATGTATGACAAGGGCAGGGCTTGTGTCGTGATGCTGCTTTTATCACTGCAACAAAAGCCTTCAATCCTGCAGTTGCCTCTGTAGGACAGCATCTGTTGGCCATTCTACTGCACTATTGCTACAGCTATTACTTGGGCCCTTCCAACTTCAAGACAGTATTATAAGTTTTTCTTGAATTTAGGTAGTGCACTTCATGAAAGAAGTCAAAGGGAGGTTTAGAAAAATCTGTAAAGGGCAATGAATTAACATATTTATTATAAAACCTGACAATCACCCAACGGAAAGCAAAAGCTTGGGTAAAGTGGTGCAACATAAACCGTCAATGAAACAGTGGCGCCCCAATGAAGTGGCTCCCCTGGAAATACAGTGGGGCAAAAAAGTATTTAGTCAGCCACCAATTGTGCAAGTTCTCCCA